GTTGGTGGTGAGTGGTGCCTCTTGTTGTTGTTGTTGTTGTTGCTGGTCGGGTATCTTCATCATCTTCATCTTCACTACATTCACTTCAATTCCCGTGTTCACTGCCTCGCCTCTTCTGTCAACTGTCTGATTTTCGCCTGTAGATCTTCGAGTTTGTGTGACAAGGCATTAGACATAAATCATCATGGTTGGCGAAATCCAAATCTCCTTCTGAGTTCTTTTCATCGTTCCAGTCAGCGTATACCCGTCTCCTCCCTCCTCACAGTTGTCTGTTGCATGATCTATTCCAGTCCAGTCGACCACAAACAGAAGCATCAATGTTGGTAGTAAGCAACCATTTCTTACTGCTATCTCTTGTCTTCACTGCACTTCAATGGTGTCACTGAGCTTTCCGTTGTCAATCACTTCGCATGTAGCACATTGCTGCTGTTGAATGAGGTTGATACAGGTTTGTGGTACTGAAGCCGTAGTGTTGAGGCAGTTGCCTGTTAAAATACGTCTGAGTTGACGCTGTCGAAGGCCAGCCTTTTCAACGTGAATGAATTTGAAGTAGAGACTTGACTGCCATTCTTTACTCTGTTCAATGATTTTACCCAGTGTATGGTTTTAATTTGATCCACATATGATTTGTACTCCAGCCAGGAAACTGCCGAGGTCGTAGTTTTGAATCCAGTGCATCTTCTAGTGTCTCCAGGATGATGCAGCCTGACATTTCGCCTAGGGTGGGCTGGGGTGGAGCATTATTCTCGCCAGTTCTTGCAAAGACTCGGGTTAGGTCGCCCTTCTTTGAAAGATTGACAATGTGGCCTTTCTTCCAATCGGCAGGTAACTTTTCATCCTTTCTTCCTTGCAGACCTTATGCTACAGTGGTCTGAGCATGTCCGCTGTTGTGTCTACCTCTGTTTTCAGCGCTTCTGGAGGAATTCCATCTGGTCTTCCTGCTTTCCAGGCTTTCAGCAACTCTATGGCATTCATGACTTCACTTTTGCTTTTGTCGGAGGACTTGTGTTCACTGACAGTTCTATGGCTTGTCTGCTAGGGGTATTTCTGGATGAGTTGCAGTTGGTGGTCGATTCAACAGTTTTTCGAAGTGGTCAGTCCATCGTTTCCTTTGTTTCTCCTCTTTGGTGTTAACTAAGTTTACTTTACAATCTTTCATTGGTTACATCTGCTTTGGTCTCTTACAAGACTTTACTTTGGTTATTTGATATAGTGTTGTCAGTTCTCTTTCGCTCCTACCTGTGGCCTGTTCTGCTTCACTTGCCGATGTGTTGTAGAAGTGTCTATTGTCTTTGCGTGCACTCTTCTTCACTTTTTGTCGAGTGCAGCCTTTTATAGGTTGTATTGAGTTCCTATATTCGTTGTTCATCCTAGCACTAGTTCATCTTCTGCTTCACACTCACCATCTTCCTCTCCCTGCTCTATCAGCTTCCTGTGTCCATCAACATCCATTTCTTGTCGTGTTTCTTTTTCATTGCTAGTACTGTTATGTCTTTTTCAAAGAGTTCCAGTGTTCTTCTATACAGTTTTCTTCACGGATGTTGCTTAATGTCTCCCGTGTTTTCCTGATGGCTGGCTTACGTGAAGATATCCTTTGTGGTTTCGTCCTTTAGTTCAGTTTCTGTTGTCGGTGTTGAACCTGAACTGTGTTTTGTCACCAACTTCTTTGAATTGAAGGCTTTCAACTTTATTTTGAAGGCAGCTTCCTTGCACTAGCTAGTGAAGTGAGTGATGTGAACCTATATCTGCTCCTCTTCGTAATCTAATCTTGTGTCCAGTAGGCTGCGTCTTCTTCTCCACTTTCTTCACATTGGGATAAAGTCGATCTGAAGTCTATTTTTAGTATGTCTTGGCGTCTGGTGGAATGAAATCTATGTCGCTTTGTGAATATCCTTGTGTTTATACGTATTGCCTCCAATCATCAAATCGTTGAATGCGCGGAAGTCTGCAAACATTTCTCCGTTCTCGTTCATTTCATCGAGTGCTTCTCGACCCATGACCAGTTTTCCTTCTTTTACTTCTATACAAATCTAACTGGGTACTTTATCCTCGTAAGAAGTTTTTCAGTCAGCTTTATTTATGCTTCTGGCCTATTTTACGCGCTCCGTTTCTATTCTTCCTGAGTTAGGGTTTCCACTAACTCTGTTTTGTAGCTTACTGCATTAGTTATTTCCAGTTGTTTGATGGTGGATACTCTATTATGTTGTGAAGATGCACTTTTTGTTGCAAGAAAGTTGATTCAATGCTCTTATTCGGATTTCGTTGGAAGTTTACCATCTGAATACCGAATTGCGGAGTTAAATAAGCTTTTATGCCAGCCGAACGCTGTTGCAAGCGATAAGCATATCATCAATGTGTCCTTTTAAAAATATTCTCCTACAGACTGAGGATTTCAGTGTAGCACTCATTTTATGTGCAGTGACATGTCAGTGATAGCCAATCCAGAGGACGACTCCGTCAAACTGGTTGTATGAAAAGTAGTTGAATTGGAATCGAAAATCTCTTTGTCAGAAATAAGCAGAAGACATTCCGGATCAAGCTACGGTCACAGGATATCTTCTGCATCCTGACTGTTTCAGTCTATAGTTTTAAGGAAGGCTATGTCAGTGCATGAAAGTATGATGTCATATGACGTTTCGCAATTATGAGATAGGTTCAAATGTTCTATTCTAATGACGAATTCCAAGGACTGTATCAAAGTGCGTACTTTTAGCATTTTTAGAATATTCTCCAAATTTCATGCTGACAAGGTAGAATGATTTTGTCCTTGAAAACAAATAATGTGCAAAAGTGTTCCATGGAAACATTGGTTTTATCTACTTTTGGTTGTTTAGAACATTATAGATAGGCGGGATTCTTTGAATCTAGACCTGCTACAGGTTTCACTGCCAATCAGTTTCTTTCTTAAGAGTTATTTGAGGTCTGTGGTAGTTTTCATTTCAAACAGCTTCCGCAATTACTTTTGAATGTATTACTGAAACATGAAGTATCATCAAGCATTGAATTCATCTTGTTGCTAGGTATTTAAAACTAACTGATATCTTTCAATAAAAAGAAAACGTATTCCGTTATAGAAAACATCCAGTATAAAAATGAAAACTGTAAAAATTTCATGTCTAAAGCAAAAAGAAATGCTAAGATTAAGTATTCGGTTAATTCATTTATATTAGTAAACACATGAAGTTAATAATTTCAGCAGCGAAAGAAATAAGAGTTTGTTTTTCACTGTCTCACTAAATATTTCCTTTTTTCCAGTAGCTTTTCTTTACTTAATTTAGTGATAAATGACTTATCTAATTCATTACTTAAGTAGTATTCATCATGGACTGATATCAGTTGTGGAACCATTGAAAGTCTGGGAGCACTGGACAGCAGTTTCATCCTAGTATGAGACTCCTCAGCAGTAAGCGCCCACGACCCGGCTAGGGATCGAACTCAGGACCTTCAGGTTTCATGGCGAACGCGTTAACCATTCAACCACTAGGTCGGTTTTCAGTGGTTCGCCATTTCTAACTTCTGTCAATACTATTTCTAAATTGAAAATCTCTATTCATCTCAAAAATACATTAAATAGATTAAACTGGTTTATCCCAGGAAAATAAACACTTTACCAATCCTCTTCAATAGTTATCTTGATCTCTACCAACGTTTACATTGTATAGTGGCAAAGTAACGGTGGATTAGTGATATATGCATAAGCAATCACATCAAACCATGATCAACAAGTTGTAAAAAGAAAACTTAAAAAGAACTAATTGGTCTGATAAGTGAAATCAGACCATTAAGAAATAGTCACCACACTGTAATCTTAAAAGTGAAATCCATGGAATTTCAAAAAAAGAACGAATAAAAAGGAAATGATTAAAACATTTTTATGTTACAACAGAAGTGAGTCAAGTAGACAATGTTTTCCACCGAAATGAAAGAAAGGTGACCTGAAATGCTGTTCTAACAAAAAAGGTAATAAATTTATTTTATTTTGGCGTTTGTCAATATCCGTCATCTGTGGCGTCGACTGGTAATAAATCCGACTATCTGTTAAAGGATGAGTACTTTGCACTGCAATTCGCTATATTGTTATTCGACTGTGAGATATTGCTGTTGAAAAAAGAAGGTATGAAGCAGCTATAGATTTTCGAACACAAGTACCTTCGTAGCGCTGATTGAAAATGATGAAATCAGAGTGTGTGCAATGTAGAGGTTAAGCGTATGTTAGCTAGGAAAAAAAGAAAACTTAGTCAGTGAGGTTTTGGACCTATAGACACGAAGATGACTTGGACATGTGTTACGAATGCGAAGATACTGACCACCTTGAAGTGCAACGATAAAGGAATTCTTATTAGATTGGAAACAGGCTCAGATCAACCAGACCTAGAAGTACCACCAGTGCAAGAAGTTGCTGAATGCCGCTGTAGGGAGTGAAGACCTCCTGGCTGGGGTCACCGATACAATAGGAATCAGCAGTTGAGGACTCCTAGTAACAAAGCTTCAAATCGTTCATAATACAGCGGATTTATTCAAAATCTGATGCTTTTCAAGGCTTGAAAAGTTTCGGTAGCCCAACTTTTCAGATCTTTTCTTTTTCGAATTCACAATTATCTATTTTAATACCGGTAACATTCCTAACAATCATTCATTGAATAGCACTGTGAGGCATGGTAACGAAGACAGAGCTAATTCCAAAGAAGGTTTAATAAAAACATTGTCCATTGGGAACTAAAATAAGGGAAATAAAAAGAGGCAGAGGTGATAAAAAAGTCTAAAATAAATTTGAGCTATTATCATCTATGCGACCAAACAAATAAATAATAATTTCTAATACATCTCAAATACAAACGGAAAAGTAATGAACAAAGTTTGAGAAATGCGCAAAATAACAAACCAAAAACAATGCTGTTCCAAGAATTCAATGAGAAAATCGTTCAAAATGCAGAGCAAACAATCTATAAAATAGTATAACGAAAAAAATACGTAAATACGAAAGAATCTGCTAAGAAAACAACGACAAAATATGCCCATATAAATCCTGCAGAAAAACAAGACATGTCAAGAAAAGAAGAAATCAATAAATAAAAAGATAAAAATAAATATATACACAAAATCAGAACCAAATATTGAAAAAGAACAAAAAAATTTCAAACAAGAGCAAAAAAAGCTAAAAAAAAGTCGATGAAAAAATGAAAATCACACATATTGTACTATATATACTAATAAGCACATCAACAGGAAGCACCAACAACCAAAAACAAAATGAAAAAATTGGAAACTACAACAAAAAATACAACCCGACGAATACTAAACATAACAATCTAGAAAGCACCAACAAGAAATCATATGGGAGTAACCGCCAGGCACCAACGTCGTTGGTAACCGTGTCGTCAGGTGATCAACAAAATAATACACAAGGAGAAGGAGGGAGAAGGGATGCACAAGTCGACGGTGGTCACGCAGATCTTCCAGGCATAAATGGCTCTTCACGTGGGAGACTTCCAGGCTTCGAGGGTGGCAGAAGTCCCATGCAAACTGAGAACACTGAATCAGGTGGGGGACACGGTCAGCCTCCAACGTCGTTGGTAACCGTGTCGTCAGGTGATCAACAAAATAATACACAAGGAGAAGGAGGGAGAAGGGATGCACAAGTCGACGGTGGTCACGCAGATCTTCCAGGCATAAATGGCTCTTCACGTGGGAGACTTCCAGGCTTCGAGGGTGGCAGAAGTCCCATGCAAACTGAGAACACTGAATCAGGTGGGGGACACGGTCAGCCTCCAACGTCGTTGGTAACCGTGTCGTCAGGTGATCAACAAAATAATACACAAGGAGAAGGAGGGAGAAGGGATGCACAAGTCGACGGTGGTCACGCAGATCTTCCAGGCATAAATGGCTCTTCACGTGGGAGACTTCCAGGCTTCGAGGGTGGCAGAAGTCCCATGCAAACTGAGAACACTGAATCAGGTGGGGGACACGGTCAGCCTCCAACGTCGTTGGTAACCGTGTCGTCAGGTGATCAACAAAATAATACACAAGGAGAAGGAGGGAGAAGGGATGCACAAGTCGACGGTGGTCACGCAGATCTTCCAGGCATAAATGGCTCTTCACGTGGGAGACTTCCAGGCTTCGAGGGTGGCAGAAGTCCCATGCAAACTGAGAACACTGAATCAGGTGGGGGACACGGTCAGCCTCCAACGTCGTTGGTAACCGTGTCGTCAGGTGATCAACAAAATAATACACAAGGAGAAGGAGGGAGAAGGGATGCACAAGTCGACGGTGGTCACGCAGATCTTCCAGGCATAAATGGCTCTTCACGTGGGAGACTTCCAGGCTTCGAGGGTGGCAGAAGTCCCATGCAAACTGAGAACACTGAATCAGGTGGGGGACACGGTCAGCCTCCAACGTCGTTGGTAACCGTGTCGTCAGGTGATCAACAAAATAATACACAAGGAGAAGGAGGGAGAAGGGATGCACAAGTCGACGGTGGTCACGCAGATCTTCCAGGCATAAATGGCTCTTCACGTGGGAGACTTCCAGGCTTCGAGGGTGGCAGAAGTCCCATGCAAACTGAGAACACTGAATCAGGTGGGGGACACGGTCAGCCTCCAACGTCGTTGGTAACCGTGTCGTCAGGTGATCAACAAAATAATACACAAGGAGAAGGAGGGAGAAGGGATGCACAAGTCGACGGTGGTCACGCAGATCTTCCAGGCATAAATGGCTCTTCACGTGGGAGACTTCCAGGCTTCGAGGGTGGCAGAAGTCCCATGCAAACTGAGAACACTGAATCAGGTGGGGGACACGGTCAGCCTCCAACGTCGTTGGTAACCGTGTCGTCAGGTGATCAACAAAATAATACACAAGGAGAAGGAGGGAGAAGGGATGCACAAGTCGACGGTGGTCACGCAGATCTTCCAGGCATAAATGGCTCTTCACGTGGGAGACTTCCAGGCTTCGAGGGTGGCAGAAGTCCCATGCAAACTGAGAACACTGAATCAGGTGGGGGACACGGTCAGCCTCCAACGTCGTTGGTAACCGTGTCGTCAGGTGATCAACAAAATAATACACAAGGAGAAGGAGGGAGAAGGGATGCACAAGTCGACGGTGGTCACGCAGATCTTCCAGGCATAAATGGCTCTTCACGTGGGAGACTTCCAGGCTTCGAGGGTGGCAGAAGTCCCATGCAAACTGAGAACACTGAATCAGGTGGGGGACACGGTCAGCCTCCAACGTCGTTGGTAACCGTGTCGTCAGGTGATCAACAAAATAATACACAAGGAGAAGGAGGGAGAAGGGATGCACAAGTCGACGGTGGTCACGCAGATCTTCCAGGCATAAATGGCTCTTCACGTGGGAGACTTCCAGGCTTCGAGGGTGGCAGAAGTCCCATGCAAACTGAGAACACTGAATCAGGTGGGGGACACGGTCAGCCTCCAACGTCGTTGGTAACCGTGTCGTCAGGTGATCAACAAAATAATACACAAGGAGAAGGAGGGAGAAGGGATGCACAAGTCGACGGTGGTCACGCAGATCTTCCAGGCATAAATGGCTCTTCACGTGGGAGACTTCCAGGCTTCGAGGGTGGCAGAAGTCCCATGCAAACTGAGAACACTGAATCAGGTGGGGGACACGGTCAGCCTCCAACGTCGTTGGTAACCGTGTCGTCAGGTGATCAACAAAATAATACACAAGGAGAAGGAGGGAGAAGGGATGCACAAGTCGACGGTGGTCACGCAGATCTTCCAGGCATAAATGGCTCTTCACGTGGGAGACTTCCAGGCTTCGAGGGTGGCAGAAGTCCCATGCAAACTGAGAACACTGAATCAGGTGGGGGACACGGTCAGCCTCCAACGTCGTTGGTAACCGTGTCGTCAGGTGATCAACAAAATAATACACAAGGAGAAGGAGGGAGAAGGGATGCACAAGTCGACGGTGGTCACGCAGATCTTCCAGGCATAAATGGCTCTTCACGTGGGAGACTTCCAGGCTTCGAGGGTGGCAGAAGTCCCATGCAAACTGAGAACACTGAATCAGGTGGGGGACACGGTCAGCCTCCAACGTCGTTGGTAACCGTGTCGTCAGGTGATCAACAAAATAATACACAAGGAGAAGGAGGGAGAAGGGATGCACAAGTCGACGGTGGTCACGCAGATCTTCCAGGCATAAATGGCTCTTCACGTGGGAGACTTCCAGGCTTCGAGGGTGGCAGAAGTCCCATGCAAACTGAGAACACTGAATCAGGTGGGGGACACGGTCAGCCTCCAACGTCGTTGGTAACCGTGTCGTCAGGTGATCAACAAAATAATACACAAGGAGAAGGAGGGAGAAGGGATGCACAAGTCGACGGTGGTCACGCAGATCTTCCAGGCATAAATGGCTCTTCACGTGGGAGACTTCCAGGCTTCGAGGGTGGCAGAAGTCCCATGCAAACTGAGAACACTGAATCAGGTGGGGGACACGGTCAGCCTCCAACGTCGTTGGTAACCGTGTCGTCAGGTGATCAACAAAATAATACACAAGGAGAAGGAGGGAGAAGGGATGCACAAGTCGACGGTGGTCACGCAGATCTTCCAGGCATAAATGGCTCTTCACGTGGGAGACTTCCAGGCTTCGAGGGTGGCAGAAGTCCCATGCAAACTGAGAACACTGAATCAGGTGGGGGACACGGTCAGCCTCCAACGTCGTTGGTAACCGTGTCGTCAGGTGATCAACAAAATAATACACAAGGAGAAGGAGGGAGAAGGGATGCACAAGTCGACGGTGGTCACGCAGATCTTCCAGGCATAAATGGCTCTTCACGTGGGAGACTTCCAGGCTTCGAGGGTGGCAGAAGTCCCATGCAAACTGAGAACACTGAATCAGGTGGGGGACACGGTCAGCCTCCAACGTCGTTGGTAACCGTGTCGTCAGGTGATCAACAAAATAATACACAAGGAGAAGGAGGGAGAAGGGATGCACAAGTCGACGGTGGTCACGCAGATCTCCAGGCATAAATGGCTCTTCACGTGGGAGACTTCCAGGCTTCGAGGGTGGCAGAAGTCCCATGCAAAACTGAGAACACTGAATCAGGTGGGGGACACGGTCAGCCTCCAACGTCGTTGGTAACCGTGTCGTCAGGTGATCAACAAAATAATACACAAGGAGAAGGAGGGAGAAGGGATGCACAAGTCGACGGTGGTCACGCAGATCTTCCAGGCATAAATGGCTCTTCACGTGGGAGACTTCCAGGCTTCGAGGGTGGCAGAAGTCCCATGCAAACTGAGAACACTGAATCAGGTGGGGACACGGTCAGCCTCCAACGTCGTTGGTAAACCGTGTCGTCAGGTGATCAACAAAATAATACACAAGGAGAAGGAGGGAGAAGGGATGCACAAGTCGACGGTGGTCACGCAGATCTTCCAGGCATAAATGGCTCTTCAGTGGGAGACTTCCAGGCTTCGAGGGTGGCAGAAGTCCCATGCAAACTGAGAACACTGAATCAGGTGGGGGACACGGTCAGCCTCCAACGTCGTTGGTAACCGTGTCGTCAGGTGATCAACAAATAATACACAAGGAGAAGGAGGGAGAAGGGATGCACAAGTCGACGGTGGTCACGCAGATCTTCCAGGCATAAATGGCTCTTCACGTGGGAGACTTCCAGGCTTCGAGGGTGGCAGAAGTCCCATGCAAACTGAGAACACTGAATCAGGTGGGGGACACGGTCAGCCTCCAACGTCGTTGGTAACCGTGTCGTCAGGTGATCACAAAATAATACACAAGGAGAAGGAGGGAGAAGGGATGCACAAGTCGACGGTGGTCACGCAGATCTTCCAGGCATAAATGGCTCTTCACGTGGGAGACTTCCAGGCTTCGAGGGTGGCAGAAGTCCCATGCAACTGAGAACACTGAATCAGGTGGGGGACACGGTCAGCCTCCAACGTCGTTGGTAACCGTGTCGTCAGGTGATCAACAAAATAATACACAAGGAGAAGGAGGGAGAAGGATGCACAAGTCGACGGTGGTCACGCAGATCTTCCAGGCATAAATGGCTCTTCACGTGGGAGACTTCCAGGCTTCGAGGGTGGCAGAAGTCCCATGCAAACTGAGAACACTGAATCAGGTGGGGGACACGGTCAGCCTCCAACGTCGTTGGTAACCGTGTCGTCAGGTGATCAACAAAATAATACACAAGGAGAAGGAGGGAGAAGGATGCACAAGTCGACGTGGTCACGCAGATCTTCCAGGCATAAATGGCTCTTCACGTGGGAGACTTCCAGGCTTCGAGGGTGGCAGAAGTCCCATGCAAACTGAGAACACTGAATCAGGTGGGGGACACGGTCAGCCTCCAACGTCGTTGGTAACCGTGTCGTCAGGTGATCAACAAAATAATACACAAGGAGAAGGAGGGAGAAGGGATGCACAAGTCGACGGTGGTCACGCAGATCTTCCAGGCATAAATGGCTCTTCACGTGGGAGACTTCCAGGCTTCGAGGGTGGCAGAAGTCCCATGCAAACTGAGAACACTGAATCAGGTGGGGGACACGGTCAGCCTCCAACGTCGTTGGTAACCGTGTCGTCAGGTGATCAACAAAATAATACACAAGGAGAAGGAGGGAGAAGGGATGCACAAGTCGACGGTGGTCACGCAGATCTTCCAGGCATAAATGGCTCTTCACGTGGGAGACTTCCAGGCTTCGAGGGTGGCAGAAGTCCCATGCAAACTGAGAACACTGAATCAGGTGGGGGACACGGTCAGCCTCCAACGTCGTTGGTAACCGTGTCGTCAGGTGATCAACAAAATAATACACAAGGAGAAGGAGGGAGAAGGGATGCACAAGTCGACGGTGGTCACGCAGATCTTCCAGGCATAAATGGCTCTTCACGGGGAGACTTCCAGGCTTCGAGGGTGGCAGAAGTCCCATGCAAACTGAGAACACTGAATCAGGTGGGGGACACGGTCAGCCTCCAACGTCGTTGGTAACCGTGTCGTCAGGTGATCAACAAAATAATACACAAGGAGAAGGAGGGAGAAGGGATGCACAAGTCGACGGTGGTCACGCAGATCTTCCAGGCATAAATGGCTCTTCACGTGGGAGACTTCCAGGCTTCGAGGGTGGCAGAAGTCCCATGCAAACTGAGAACACTGAATCAGGTGGGGGACACGGTCAGCCTCCAACGTCGTTGGTAACCGTGTCGTCAGGTGATCAACAAAATAATACACAAGGAGAAGGAGGGAGAAGGGATGCACAAGTCGACGGTGGTCACGCAGATCTTCCAGGCATAAATGGCTCTTCACGTGGGAGACTTCCAGGCTTCGAGGGTGGCAGAAGTCCCATGCAAACTGAGAACACTGAATCAGGTGGGGGACACGGTCAGCCTCCAACGTCGTTGGTAACCGTGTCGTCAGGTGATCAACAAAATAATACACAAGGAGAAGGAGGGAGAAGGGATGCACAAGTCGACGGTGGTCACGCAGATCTTCCAGGCATAAATGGCTCTTCACGTGGGAGACTTCCAGGCTTCGAGGGTGGCAGAAGTCCCATGCAAACTGAGAACACTGAATCAGGTGGGGGACACGGTCAGCCTCCAACGTCGTTGGTAACCGTGTCGTCAGGTGATCAACAAAATAATACACAAGGAGAAGGAGGGAGAAGGGATGCACAAGTCGACGGTGGTCACGCAGATCTTCCAGGCATAAATGGCTCTTCACGTGGGAGACTTCCAGGCTTCGAGGGTGGCAGAAGTCCCATGCAAACTGAGAACACTGAATCAGGTGGGGGACACGGTCAGCCTCCAACGTCGTTGGTAACCGTGTCGTCAGGTGATCAACAAAATAATACACAAGGAGAAGGAGGGAGAAGGGATGCACAAGTCGACGGTGGTCACGCAGATCTTCCAGGCATAAATGGCTCTTCACGTGGGAGACTTCCAGGCTTCGAGGGTGGCAGAAGTCCCATGCAAACTGAGAACACTGAATCAGGTGGGGGACACGGTCAGCCTCCAACGTCGTTGGTAACCGTGTCGTCAGGTGATCAACAAAATAATACACAGGAGAAGGAGGGAGAAGGGATGCACAAGTCGACGGTGGTCACGCAGATCTTCCAGGCATAAATGGCTCTTCACGTGGGAGACTTCCAGGCTTCGAGGGTGGCAGAAGTCCCATGCAAACTGAGAACACTGAATCAGGTGGGGGACACGGTCAGCCTCCAACGTCGTTGGTAACCGTGTCGTCAGGTGATCAACAAAATAATACACAAGGAGAAGGAGGGAGAAGGGATGCACAAGTCGACGGTGGTCACGCAGATCTTCCAGGCATAAATGGCTCTTCACGTGGGAGACTTCCAGGCTTCGAGGGTGGCAGAAGTCCCATGCAAACTGAGAACACTGAATCAGGTGGGGGACACGGTCAGCCTCCAACGTCGTTGGTAACCGTGTCGTCAGGTGATCAACAAAATAATACACAAGGAGAAGGAGGGAGAAGGGATGCACAAGTCGACGGTGGTCACGCAGATCTTCCAGGCATAAATGGCTCTTCACGTGGGAGACTTCCAGGCTTCGAGGGTGGCAGAAGTCCCATGCAAACTGAGAACACTGAATCAGGTGGGGGACACGGTCAGCCTCCAACGTCGTTGGTAACCGTGTCGTCAGGTGATCAACAAAATAATACACAAGGAGAAGGAGGGAGAAGGGATGCACAAGTCGACGGTGGTCACGCAGATCTTCCAGGCATAAATGGCTCTTCACGTGGGAGACTTCCAGGCTTCGAGGGTGGCAGAAGTCCCATGCAAACTGAGAACACTGAATCAGGTGGGGGACACGGTCAGCCTCCAACGTCGTTGGTAACCGTGTCGTCAGGTGATCAACAAAATAATACACAAGGAGAAGGAGGGAGAAGGGATGCACAAGTCGACGGTGGTCACGCAGATCTTCCAGGCATAAATGGCTCTTCACGTGGGAGACTTCCAGGCCTCGAGGGTGGCAGAAGTCCGATGCATAGTCAGGGTGGTGTTTCAGTTTTATCGCTTGGATCAGGTTCTTCGGGTGGCTTCGTTGGTGGGATGGTTCTGTCCTGGGTTCCGTAATGAAGCCGAATATGACGTTAAGTTGTGTTGGTTCAAATTGTGATGGGGCAATAGCTGGTGGTAGGAATCCTTTGAGTGGTTCGATGGGGGAACGTGATAATATTCCCGGGCGAATGGTTCTGCGGATGGTACGTTTCCTTGTGTTCCCCGTGTGGGTGGTGGCGGTTGCGTTGGTGGTTGTTCTTCTTGCGAATCTCGACCTGTTGCTAATGGTTCTGGTTTTTTGTCGTACACACGAGTTACGAATATATCGAGATTTGTTAATGTGACGTTGAATAAAAAATCATCAAAGTCTTTCAAAAAGCATAGCAAAAAGAAGATCAGAAGTGGGTTTTATTCATCTTCGCATTTCAGGAAGAAGCCAAAATCGAAGCTTTCTTTCTATGGACGTACGAAACGTTTCAAAAGGAAGTTTGCATATGTTAGAGACTATGTATTTGGCAATGAAGATAAAGAGCTTCAAGTGAAAGATTTTGGTTCATACAATGCATATGATAAATTTTCTGCTCGATTCTAATTGTGTCAGGATTACACGTATGATTTTGTTCAGATGGTGGAACATCAACCATGAATAATTCCTTTAATAAAGATTTTACTCACAGATTATTGATAAGTATAATGTTATGCAATAAATAGTATCAATATCTAGATGAAGCATTTCTTTTTCTTATGGAAGTGAATAACTGAGGCAAAACTATACAATGAAGGTCTAGAATATTTTACATGTAATGGACTGCTGTCTTTCAATGACACTAATGACCATATCAATATTAGTTCGGTTTACAAGGGCTTGATATAAATGTAAATTTAGTTATTATTATCAGATAATTAATTTTAACCCATGAACCATTAAAAACAAGTGAAATTGATAATAACTGTAAAGGTACAACTGCATAAGATAACAATAGTAGGTATGTCAGTGAATTTATTGAAGAAAAAGTAGTTCAACGAAGAAGATCCTCTTCATTTACATTAGGTATACAATTGTATATATAAATATTTGATTTTCATGATATAATCAATTTTCCATGTGTCAAGGAGAAAATATTGTCACATAGATCTATTGTGATAAAATCTACTGAAATTTCAGTTTGAGAAGAATTCGTAAGATTATGGAAATCAATTCGCAAAAAGCTTTAGATTTCAGTTTGATTCTTCTTAGCACTCATCAACGAGGCGTATCTGCAACCATGAGAAAGATGGTGTTCCTTCAGTGATTCGAAGCTGCATCATTCAATGCTGAAGTTAGTGACTTAGCCATTAAAATATTAAAGCTAAAACTGAAGATTTTTAGGGCTGAGTTATTCACATGCGTTGGTCACCAGTGGGTAATCGACGAAGTTTCTTAATCCCTAGTGTTAATCAAAGTTTTTCAAACAAGGTTTACGATGAATAGAGCTGTATAACCTAAAGAAGGAGGTTGTGAACAACAAAACAATACTTGATTATTTATATAAGAAAGTTAAGTAAAGGTAATCTAATAAAAGATAGCCTAGAATAAAGTTTGGGAGGTATGATCGCTAGCCGAAAACTGTCAGTAGTATAAAGCAGGCACCTGACTGAATTTGACATAGGAGAAATTGTTGTTAAAGCTTATTAGATGCCCTGTATTGGTTAATCGTGTTATGTATACGGTAACAAAAGGGAATCAACAAAAAACCTTTTTATGCATAGCTTTAGCCTAGAATTGTGATGCGTTAAGGATGCCACAATGAACAGAATATTGAGAAGTAGGACTGTGCAAGTAATATAGAATAAAGAATTTCAGGCTGTATAATCTGTACTTACCACATGTTATAAGATATTTGGTGTGGTCAGGCGGTACTGCGTTCTTCTAAGCTATAACAGAAGCTATTTTTAAATAAATCAAGCTTTCAATAGCAAGTGACTAGATTCTTAAATGTTTGTATGAAGGGCCGTGAATTTATCAAAACGTTTTGAAAATCCTTTCATTATAATCTTACCATTGTAAACACAACGTCACTCAAGCATAGTATATTCAACTACATTAATGCAATGTCACTAAAAGATGACACGTATTGTATGGTCTGTTTCTTAAAACAAAAGCACTACTGGGAGATGAGGTCTTCAGAGTCATCAAGTTAGTATCTGAAGATGTTTTGACTAAGTTTTAATGAAGTCTAAGGGTAATCACCTTTAAGACAAAGTTTTTAGCACTACATAAAAAAAATTTCTATAAATATTCATCACCATACTTCATAACTTTATAAATTTAAGTGCTATTTTTAGATCCTGAGTTTTCAAATGATCACCTAATGCAAGCAGATATTCAGTATTTTAATGATCTAATGATTTCGAGTCAGCAGTATTTTAGGGTGTTTATCACATCACGAAAATTGAAATCCATATACCTTCTCGTTGAGAAACAATACAATAAACTTAACACTTCAAGAAGGATAAGAACTTCCTAATAACTCACTGTGATAGTAATACAACTGCATCTACAGAAATACACTGATAAAATGAAAGTTTTTTCGGTTCACAATAAGTTTTCAAAGAATAAAACTGAAGTGAGGTCAAACCACAATTTAGAGATGCTTAAACGTTTAAACAATTTCGAGTTTCGCATAAGAGTCTATAAATAATAGTTGCTACGCTTTACAACGTCACAGGAAATGAAAGTGATAAAATTTAGAATGATAATGAAATGCAGATCAACTCACCCGGTACAGGTTAATGCATGTATCAGACTAGGAGCAACACCCATTGTATGAAGGATCATGATATCACATGATAATACTAACGCCAAAGTAGGTAGAGCGGGATTTAAACCTGGGTTTGACAGTCCAATTTTCAAACTAATGGGCTATAGGTTTACTAATAATATGAACGAGAATGACATAAGTGTCTGGTAAATAAATAATTGAAGGTTAGTGAAGTTATCCAAAACATTGAAATCGGTCACAAGAGAGTAAATATTCACTACTGTAATAAGTTCTGCACTGCTTGAATGAGGATCCTCGACCAATGATTCCTGGTACTTCACAGGCCTTATCCTGACAGCTCGGAATCACCTACACGAACCATTCCAACAGATATCCCGAATTTCCTTACCAGCGAACTCTACTTTGGCTAATATTATGCATCAAAATATGTAGTGGATGGGTATGTTCATCACATTTTTAAGACACATCAGTCGCTGAATCTTGAAGACTCTGTGTTGAAAATCAACACTGCTTACATGTTGGCACTATCACAATGAAACAAAACTATAGAGATGTGTTTAATCAAAAGCTTTTAGACTAATCAATTCTTCTACTTCTAACGATAAGGTCTTACAGTTCTACCTATCTTTGCAAACGCTTTTTAAATTGTATACCAGTACACTATTCAATCCACTGTCTCCTTGAAACAAGGTTTATTGGTGAATGAAAATCTCATCACATGGAAGGAAGACTTTATAACTTTTGTCAAAAGAACTTGTTGTTTCTATGTAGGAAGCTAATTGTGACCACCGAAAAAATTCTTGTTCCTGAGTGAATGTTGAGTAAATTTTTTAAATAATGAAATGAAAAATGTTAAGCAAAATAATGAAAATATACATCAGCAAAGTAAAAAAAAAGACATATGGAGAGAATTCTAGAAAGCAGATCAGGATCCAAGCAAAATTATAAACCACAAAGATGAACTACGTATACTTTTTTTTCTTCTTCCAAAGGGACATGAACAATACTAAACCACTCATGTAATGTATTCTGTTTATAAGAGAATATATAAATAGAATCAAACTTGATTTCATTGGAAACAATAATTACAATTCATATGAAGTAGGTCAAGATTCTGGATAACGAAACGATGAATATCGAAAAGAAATACGGAGAAAGTAGAAAATCGATGTTCCGAAAAAAGTCTACTTAGCGTAGACAATGAAGAAAAAATGCTTAAATGTTTTCTCTAGTTCATCTCAAATGATTTCCTTCTACAAATTGAAGTTGAAAGATTATTAAAGGAAGTAAATGATAATGATAAGAGTGCGTTTTGATTTTACTACACCAGAAGGTGATTAAAAAAAAACACTTTTCAATAGTCAATGATTTACTCTAAAATAAAATAAACTTGTTGAAAACTAACCAAAGTAGAATTTTTAACTGCGTCAATTATTGGGGCCTAAAATGTAAAATTAGCGTTTTATAAAAGTGCATAATAATCTTTAATCGTTTTTATTTACCAAAAAGGATTATAAACCATTTAACGAATCCAGTTGTATTTAACTATCAGTATATATAATAGATGAATTTTATGGTGAATTATAAAATTATGATAGAATGAGAACTATCATTAAATACATCTTCATTAGTGTTGTAACCAATAGGTTTTTATTATTAGCTTTCGGAAACGATTTCCCAGAATCGGAAAGTGATGGTACACACTTCAAAATGCATTCTGGTAGTAGTCCAGTAGATGAACATTCTAGGGACAACATACCTAGATCTGACACTTGGAGTCAAGGTGATGGAGCTGAGCAAATTTCAAAAAATCACGGTCACGATGATTCGGAAAGTATTGATAGTCGTTCAAAGAGTGGATGGGGTCAAGAAACAATGCATACTCAGACAGATAACCACCACTCTCAAACGTCGGACCATCAAGATGGCCCAGAAGAGGACTGGGAAAGTGACAGAAGACGCCGTGAGGACAGTCATTCAGGAAACCCAGAAACTCGAGCTAGGTATCCACGTTCGATAAAAATGTTAAAATCAGACCATACTTCTGGACCACCTAGTGAAGGTCGTGATAGAGGTCCTGATATAAATGTAGTACATGGTGAAACAACACCGCCACCTATTGGTGGTGGTTTATCACTGAATGGAAGGCCTAGTCCAAAAAGCGCAATGAACATAGAAGGACAAAGTCAACAGTCAACTAAAACACTGAGTAACACAAAACACAAAGTTATGGAATCCAGGCGAAGAGATAAAATAATAAAAGGAGCATTTTATAACAAAGGAAATGAGGATCGCCAAAGCGTGTCACATTACACTAAGAAGTATAAAGGACAAAAAAGACACGGTGATAAGCGATTCCGTACTAAGACATATGTAAATGGTGGCTCAAAACACTTTAAGAACAGATATGAATACATCGTTCATGATATAGATGGTTATGAAGCTGATGAAATATCTGTCAACGATTTGCAACAACATCATGAAAGCAGTGAGTTCTCCATGTCTGGGCCAACATCACACAGATAAGCACAAAATTCAAGTGACATTTGTTGCAATAGTTAGAGAGTCAGAAATAAAAGTGGACACTTTACCAAAGGTAAATTATTAACTAAAATATCATACATAAAAATGATAGCTTGTAATAATAAAACAAACCATTACTTGCAGTAAATTTACATTCTCCACCTATAGTTCAAAATCTGATTTAACAGGAATATAAATGGTGTAAATGATTTATAATTTGAAAACTTGTGATATGTTGACACCTCAGGTAACAATGAAGCTGAAAATTTTGAATTCATCAATTGTTACTTCAAAAGATGATAAAAGCACGCTTAAACACTTGTCATTATTGAAAAGTTAACTAAAATGCTAAATGTATTGGAGCACATTTTATATGCAATAACAAGAATGAAATGAAAAATGAACACTAGTAAATGCTGATGAAAACAAAAGCAAAACGTAACCAATCCAGGGTCATCTAGCTAGTAGTTTGTCAATTCAGATATGCCATTTAACTCTTAGTTTGGTCCGAACTTGACTTGTTAAATATTGTCTTCAACAGATATACGAATTGAAAGCATGTACAACTAATCACATTTTACAACACTAGCATCTCAACAGAATCTGTTGATTTTTCATCATTGAATAACAATTCACGAGAATGAAAAAGACTCAGTAATAGCCTAATAACTGAGTTTCAACTATTAAATTAGGCCTAACTTCAGATCATGCATGAGACAATGAACAGCAGTAAACATAAAACGTTTTCACCTAAAGATTTTTAAATATCTTAAAACTAGTTAACATTTATTCCATAAAACTCTCTGCTAGCATCTTACCCAAAAACACCAACATGATACTTACCAAAGTTTTAAATGTTTAGATTCAATCCAGAAGATATCCTGAAATCAAAACTGTCACATTCATTATCCAGAGCTCTATGAAAGGGTTTGGCGCTGCCGTAGGATGAGATAATACCGTACGTTGTAGTATGAAAAATATGATTTTATATCTTTACAGCATGGTACGCAGCGTCAGCGTTCTGAAATAAACTTGAAATAAATCTTTTTATAACACTTATTGTGAATTTCTAAGAAAATCGGAAAAAAAGCGAACAAGCGATTCTACAACGATAAACCAAACACTCGAGTTACGTGTAAAATCAATAAAGCAGGATTTGTCTGAAATGCGCCTTTGCATTAATAAACAATCGTGAATCAAAAACTACAAACCTCGAATCCTGAGATATCTATGCGTCAACAGTACAATAACAATGCTCTATCCAAGGCAAACGGGAAGAGGATATAAAATATCCGCGTATGTCCTCACGATGAGATAAACAAGTGTTCAAGGTTACACAGAACATCACAGAGCAACGCAAAGGATCACTACATCATCATGAACAGTAAAAGGTAGCAATATCTAGGGATTTTCAGTGGTTAACAAGATAAGGTTGAATAGAATGAATAGGTTGAAGACGGAATAACATTAAAAGATTATGCTACTGAATAACTACTAAGTAACATACAGCTAAAGACATAAAACGTGATAAAAGGTTAACGTTGCACAGGGTAGAGAAATAAACACTTACTTTCAGACATAGCTGCGAAAGATATCTCTTGATTCAGACAGTTGAATTACTGGTCTGATTGCATATACTACATATTTATCGCTTATGAATCACCATAATTCTACGGATATTATAAATTGCAATCACACACATAAAAGTATTACTCAGTAGAAGAGTTATTCTCTTAAAAATTTATACAAGGAATTAGAAATAAAAATACTGAGAGATCGCATCATTTCATAGATTCTGCACAATTGCGTAGTAAGCAATCTGATCTAAAGCAACAAATTAATTAGTCTGAGGCTACCCTGAAAATCCTAATTTCGACCGCTGGTGGGGTCATGGCCGCTTACTGCTGCAGAGACACATGATTATTATTATTTATCCATTGGGTTCGTAGTAGAACATAGGGCTTCAGTAGCACGTCTCCATTCCAATCTGTTCTCTAAAATCTTTTGAACCTCGCTCCACGACTGCCCACAAGCTCTCATTTCTTCCTCACATCATCTCCCCCATATCGCCCTCGGCTCAGACGCCCTACTCGCCGTTTCCCACCTGGGTTCCACTCGAGGGCCTGGCACGTGATGTGCCCGAATGATCTTCTCAGTGCATGTCCAATCCATCCTCACTTCCTTCCGCATATTTGTTCAGCGATAGGTTCTTCTTTCGTTGCCAACCAGAGTTCCTTGTTGCGTATTCTTTCTGGCCATCTGAGGTTCAGTAACGGGCCAGTGTAGGCAGTTGTTGATGAATATTTGTAGTTTGTTGGAAATGCTGTTCATGATGCGCCAAGTCTCTGAACCATATAGAAGCACTGACTTGATCGAATTAGTGTTGCAAATCTGGATCTTGTTCTTTATGCTGAGTGTAGAAGATCTCCACACTGGTTTCAGGTTAATGAACGCCTGTCTTGCCGATCCTGGCTTTGTCGTCCTCGTCTGTGCCGCCATCGCCTGTAGTTGAAACGGTTCTGTCTAGATAGGTGAAAGAGGCCACTTCCTTTAAGTTCCTCCCGTTGATGGTGATTGGAGCTTGTTGTTGTTGTTGGTGGTGTTGGTTGGGTATCTTCATCTCCTCTGTCTTCTCTGCGCTCTCCTGAAGGAAGTCCTACCTATTCTGTCAACTTGTTAGTTTTCGCCTGTAGATCTTTGAGTTTGTGCGACATTAGACACAAGTCATCGTTGGCGAAATCTAAATCTTCTTCTGGGATCTTTTCCCCGGTCCAGCGCATTCCCCTCTTCTCGCTCCTCACAGTTTGTTGCATGATCCGGTCAAGTCGACTACAATCAGGAATATCATGGATGATAGTAGACAGCCTTGTCTTACTCCTGTCCTCTGTCTTCGATTCAAAAGCATCACTGAGCTTCCCATTGTGAATTACTTGGCATGTGGCGTCTTCATATAGTTGTTGAGTGAGGTTGATAAAAGATTTGTGGCACTAAAACCCTATTGCTGAAGCAACTACCTGACAAATCACTTTTCGGTCGACGCTGTCGAAGGCCTTTTCAAAGTCGATAAAGATGAGGTAAAGACCCGGTTGACTGCCATTTTATACTCTGTTCTATGATGATGCGTAGCGTAGCGTCACAATTTGATCCACACATGATTTGTTCTTTCTGAAGCCAGCCAGCCTGTTCCGGTCATAATTTTGAATGTACAGCATTATTTAGTCTCTCCAGGATTGTGCGCCTCAATATTTTACTTGGGGTGGACAGCAGCATGATTCCACGCCAGTTCTTGTAAGGGCTTAGGTCTCCCTTCCTTGGGAGTCTGACAAGGTAACCTTTCTCCCAATCAATTAGCAGGTGCCTTTCCTTCTTTCCAAACCTTCTGCTTTAGGAGTGTGATCATGTCCGCTGTTGTCGCTGCATCCGCTTTCAGTGCTTGTGGTGGAATTCAATATGGTCCTCCTGCTTTCCCGAATTTCAGCAACTTTATGGCATTCAGGACTCCACTTCTGCTTTCGACTGAGGGCCTGTGTTCACTTGTAGTTCTACCGCTGCTGATAATATTTCCGGACGAGTTGCAATTGGTGGTCGATTCAAAAGCTTTTTGAAGTGGTCAGCATACCGTTTCCTTTGTTTCTCTTCTTTGGTGTTAACTAAGTTTTCTTCACTATCTTTCATTGGTTACATTTGCGTTGATCTCTTCCCAAATAGTAACCTGGTTATTTGATACAATGTTGTCAGGTCTCTCTCACCAGCCTGAAGCCTGTTCTGCTTCACTTGCCAATGTGTCGTAGAAGTGTCTTTTGTCTTTGTGCGCACTTTTCTTCACTTTGTTGTCCAGTGTAGTGTTTTATACGTTGTACTCAGTTCCCTTTCTCGTTGTTCATCCTTGCACTGGTTCATCTCCTGCTTCCTCATCCTCTTCTCGTTCATCTATCAGCTTCCATGTGTCCGTCGAAATCCACTCCTTGTCTTGTTTTCTCTTCCTTCCTAACACTATGATGCGGGTTTCTTTCCATATCCCTTTCACACAGTTCCAGTGTTCCTCCACGTTCCACCCTTCACGGATGTTGCTCAATGTCTCCTATTTTGTTCTGATGGATGACTGACGTGAAGATGTCCTTTGTAGTTTCGTCCTTTAGTTCAGTTTCTGTTCTGGGTGCTGAACTTAGACTGTGGTTTATCAACAACTGTGAAGGCTTTCAACTTGATTGTGAAGGCTCCTTGCACTAGATAGTGAGTGGTGTGAACCTACAGCTGCTCCCTTCTTGATCTGATCTTGTGTCCCGTAGGCTACGTCTCCACTTTCTTGAGATTGAGATGAAGTCGATCTGATTTTCAGTATGTCCATCTGATGAAATCAAATCCATGTCGCTGCGTGAATATCATTGTGTTTGTACACTGCCTCCAATCACCAAATCGTTGAATGCACAGAATTCTGCAAACATTTCTCCGTTCTCATTCATTTCACTGAGTGCTTCTCGACACATGATGAGTTCTCTTCCTGTGTTGTCCGCTCCCAGTTTCACATTCATGTCGCCCATTAGAATTTTGATATCGCTAACTGAGGTCTTGTCCAATGCTGATTCTAGCTGTCTATAGAATTCCTCTTTCTTCTCTTGATCTGCATTATTTGTTGGCGAGTAGCATTGAATGATTGTGACTTTCCTTCATTTTGAGTTGAATCTTGCTGTTATGATCCTGCAGGAGGAGATTGGTTCCCACTGCATGAGAGCCCTCGATGTCCTTGGGGAAATCATGATTGCCACTCCTAAACTCAGTGAGCTCGTGGTTATCATCTTGGAGACAATATCGCAGTAGATTTTTGACTCTCCAGTTAAGAGTTTGGAGAGTCCACTTCCATTCCATCTGGTTTTGCAGATTCCAGGCACTTCCATGCCATGCCTCCTCATCTCTTTTGTAATGTGGGCAGCCTTTCTAGGTGTTCATACATGGTGCGGATATTCCATGTCCCCATGTTTATTTTCGTTTTCATCGAGAGAAGACCCATCGGCTGACTAGCTTTCCGAAGGCTTTCACCAGCCGGAGTCACTTCGTATCTCCGATTCCAGCGGGGAATAAGTTTGTTTTTATTTTTTATATTTTCTATGTGCTTTGAAGCTTCTTTAGCGATTGGATTGGTTTCCCGGGGTAGGATTGCTCGCCCTATGCCCAACCTTCCCTCTTCACCCGGGCTTATGAACTAGTTAACCAGTTGAAAGATGCTCTCATATCTTCATTGGTTCTCCAACTGATGTCATTACTTGATATAAGTTCAGGATAAACAAAGGGTCACATCCATTCCTTTATTAACATAACTGTAGGTGTTATTTATTTAAGGCGCTTTTATAACTTTTATTCACTTTTGGTTGAAGTTCTAAGGAACAACTGAAAGACAGTCATAAGTATTTATGTCGTTGATTGAACCGAATTCTTCTGTCTATATTGGCATATGGGCTCCTGTATGAATGCCTCGATATTACCTGTAGTTTTTATTTTATAGTAAGGATGGGTAATACAGGCAATAACATACAGTGTACCCGTCGCACATGTCATTTTTATCTTAAGTCTGTGACCTAACAGATAACGATCTGGTGCTTCAAGCTATCAGTCCCATGTTCAAGTCTCAGCGGGTACAACGTCACTCACTGGGGTGCAGGTAGATCCAACTGACGAGTCCCGAATAGGTCGAGACGAGAGTTATAGATTTTCCACTGCTAGACACTAAGCAGCTTATAACAAAAACCAGCTAGGTTCTATGTATTCGTACTCATTTGAAAGTGTATCACAAACAACATTGTTTTCAAAATGACAAAACTATCTTTAGCAAAAAGTAATATTTCAGTTGGGGAACTATTGAAAATTAAAGTTTACTAAAACCTTAAATATTAATCATAACCACAGTTTCAAACTTACTCAAATGAAGCATGCGACTCCGTTGATTGTAAAGTCTTATGGAAATATCTCTCACCGAAAGGCTTGCCGAGTAAGTATATCACCTTATTGAAGACTCTCTACCCGAACACTTGTAGGCGTGTTAGAGCCTATGCTGAGATGTTCA